CTGTGTCTTGCCTTAACGCAGCTAGTCACGGGAGCAGGTATTAGTCTCGTCTGGGCACCAGTCGTTAGAAGCCGTCCCAAGCTCTTTATTCCGCGCTGTGCAACAAGCCTCGCTGAGGCGGTGACCCACGGGCCGAACATCTTGTGCCACAGCACGGCCTTGAGTCGGGACACAGCGTATAGTCCGGAGGGGTGTACATCGGTCCTCTGGTCCGGTCTAATACTCTCTTGCACGCGGACTATCACTCGCCTATGCCCGCAGCCTGGTTCCCAGGATCCTGGCTACCAGCTTTCCAAAGAACGAGGCATACTCTGACGTTCACAATCTTCCCAATCAACCTCAGCTTGGAGAGTAGTCTTGTCCCAGTTCGTCTTGCCAGTGTCCCACGGCGTTCTTGTCTTAAAAACTGCTCCAATTTACGTAGAAAGGCGCAATACCGATATTCCTGTGTTGATGATGAGATATGACACAATCTCTCACCATGGACCCTTTTCTACCTCCATGCTCTCACTAAGTTCCTAGCGTGTTGCTTGTGTCCAGGATAGTTGTACAATGCACGCTCCACAACCAGGCATGTAACGGAAAGATTTCAAAGATAATGACCCGAGCGTTGATTGGCCCTCTTTTCAAACCCCAACAAAGAGAAATGCATGCAATTGGCTGGTCTGGTTTACAGGTCACCGCAGGAATAATGATATACAAAGAGTTGTGAAATGTCCCGCTTGTCTATTATGTAAAAGTTGCAACGCACACTAATAAAAAACATAGGCTATAAAATAGTCTGGAATGTTATCATCAACACATAATTTGCAGTTTACCCGTGTAATGTTTTCAACTTCGTGTTCTTAAAGTATAAAAATTAAATATAACCAAGGAAGTTAAACCTCTCTTATATAAAAACAAACAAACAAGGTAAATAAGACATAGGCGCCGTCTCGTCTCTGACCATGACACCACAATACACATCTTACAACAATGTACAAGTAAACTATGCATCTTTTGCCTCTTCCAAAAAATTATTTTTACACTAAAGTGGGCTGATATTTGAAAAAACACCAGAGCGGTCCCTCTCATTATCAAAGAAAACGACCATGTTTCCAAAGGTGAAATATGTCAAGGTCGAAGGTTCCCAATAGACTAGTTTGGTAAAATTCTGATCAGTAATTGTGTTGTTGTTTTTGCCCACTGTAGATTCAATATGGTGCCGGTATAATGAGGCGTTAATATATGCGGGGAGACGATGGACCACACAAAGAAATCTACTCATTGTTCATAGCAAGGGTTATAGTTACAAATATATACAGGGATACACTTAGACCCCATTCATACCAAGGACGTTATATCATAACCTAGTTGAAGCTCCATGTTCATATAAAATCCTTGTTCATACCAAGCTTTATATATCCTTCTAGATTCTTTAGCAGAGTTTATATAAGCCTGGCGTGGCCCAAAAGTCAACCAGACTCTGGCGAGGGCGAGTTTATAGCAGACATCGGCCCCCAAACAACATTTATTCTATTCACCAACTTTTAATGTAACGCTGATTTCCTCTACCATCCAATCTAGATGTCTTGTCTTTGTGTTGCCTGTTACCTACAACGTTTTTAGGTAGTAATTCGGTTCATGGAACGAACTCATGTTTAGGTAGATTTCGGGAGTGAAAATAATATTGTTTTCTAACCAGCATTTTGCCCGTTCTTCTTACCGGCTTTGAAAACACATGTACGCATTTGCGAAACGATCTACATGTATGGTGACCCCTTATTGTTTGGCAGTACTTGCGACGTGTGACGTGTGCAGGCCCGTATATTCCCGTACACACGACTAATTACCAGGTGTCCGGGCGTGTCCGGAGGAATCACAGACCCGCACACGCCGTGGCCGACATTTCCTGCACACACCCGGACACACCCGGACACGCCAAGTTTCACGGGACATGTACAGGTCCGGAAACGTCCGGATATTCCGATTTTTGAGCAGTGTAGTGGCTGTACCTGTCCCTGAAAGTAGGCCATATTCTTCACTTGTCCACTAATGCAAAATATTGGCTATCTTTGGGAGTCTAACATGAAAAAGGAAAGGTTTTAATTCTTCTGTCTCTAATTTTGCCAGATCTATGCCTTGGGTTGTTTATGAAATAGTTAGCACCAACGTTTGCATGATATAGTTGTAGCAATGTGGCTGTTATTGAACGTATGCCATTTTATCTTAATTTGATGATAACAGTCTTATACAGTCATATTTAGCGTCCCCACATTATTGACTCTCGAAGACTTGACTTGTTTCTATATTTGAATAAATATAATACATCCCTGCGCATCTTTCTAATATGTAGTCTATCACTCTATGTCTATGTCTTTGTATAACTATGTCTATGTGGAAACATGCAATTCAGGTGGTGCTAAATATTTTATAAACAACCCAAGGCATAGATCTGGCAAAATTAGAGACAGAAGAATTAAAACCTTTCCTTTTTCATATTAGACTCCCAAAGATAGCCAATATTTTGCATTAGTGGACAAGTGAAGAATATGGCCTACTTTCAGGGACAGGTACAGCCACTAGAACACAGGAATCTGACCTATGCAAACATGCATTTCATAGACAATATATAGGTTTACATTCAGTGTAAATTTAAATAGCAAAACAGTTTACTGTAGAGACTTATGAGAGTCAAAAGATAGGACAAGATGACATGAAAATATGCAAATTGTGCTACTAGTGCGTAGCAGCAAAACAAGAACCCAGACTTTGCAAGTACGCATTCCACAGAGTACATATTATTTTATGTTGTAAATAGATTTCAAGTACAGAACTAGTTTAGTTTGGAACTTATGTCAGTTCAAAAGTAGCACAAAATGACATACTATCAAAATAATGAAAACTGACCCACTTTAAAGGACAAGTGCGTAGCAATGAAACAAGAACCCAAACTTTGCAAGCATGCATTTCATAGACAATTTGTTATTTTATATTCTAAGTAACCTTCAAGTAAAGAACTAGTTGGTTTGTAACTTATGCTAGGTCAAAGATAGCACAAAATGGCATATTATCAAAATAACAAAAACTGACCTACTTTTAGGCATTGCTCTGATCAGCACATCTTGCTCTTGTCTTGTCGTTACACCAAATCACTGATCAGTTATAGTGCCCTAAAGTTAGCCAATTTCTATGTTTTGTACATGCCAAAATCTGGACAAATGCCCTGAAAACTTCTTTGGCCCGTTGCCATGGCAACAAGGGGTTCTGAGCAAAAAGAAAGCTATTCTGAGGGGTTATGTACCAAGTACTATCACTGTGCAAAAAATGACCTAAATCGATTTTTTGACCGGTGCCACCATTGTTTGATCCTTACTCTTAATATAGCTCTTAATATAGCTGCGATAAGAGTGGTGTCATCAGTTGTCATGTAGCTGAAAAATGGGATCGAAACTTTTCAGCTCATCCATCACAAACTCAAGAAATATTTTGAAAAGGACAGGTGACAAGAAGCAACCCTGTCTGACTCCCACTCCCACCTGGAACCAACTGGTGATTTGCCTGTTGATAATGACAGCACACTGAGTGTTTTAGATATAATATAAACATATAAATATTGTGAACTAGTACAAATTCTTTAGCTTCTACCAGGCTTTAGTATGGAAAATAATGGATGTTTACAAAATAGGCTAAAGAGTATCCCAGAGAACTTACCTGGCTTGAGTACCGTTGACAGCTTTTCCCTCTAGCCCAGGAACACCTTTGTGATACAATTTGATCATTTGTGTAACGCGTTTACTTATAATATTTTTTAGACACCTAGTGATCCTTTTATATAAACAAAAGTCATGTCTGCTACAATGATAGGAAAATTCCTTGGGTTTAGTTTTGAAATAGGGCATTATTATGACGATCTGAACGTGTAAACTGTTTGATGCAACGCCAGTTTAATTTCTTCTGTTTTGACTGATATCAATGGCCAAAAAGCAGAACGAAAAACCAATGAGAAAATTGTCAGAACACCTCATAACTTCAGATGCCAGTGCGCTTCAGAGATATCAGCGATAAAGTGATTGACAGAGATCTTTGTGTAGTATGCTAATGACGGCCCGAAGGTAAAAATACCAAGATTAAGACTTTGATGTTCCGAGTATCAAAATGTGTACATGCTGCTTATCTTGGTAAAATTTACAAACCTACTAACTGCGTAACTCCTGACATACGACTGTGACCGCTACCTTCACATATAATCATAAGTGCAATATTTGTTTAAAATTCTGCAGCAGAAAGAGACGTTCCAGATTATTGTTGGGTTCACTACGTAATCTCCTTAGGGTCCAAATACCAATGTCTTAAAGATGAATAGAGCCAGACATTATAATTATGGCAAGTAATGGAGTATGAATCGCGCCATCCTGTCTGTGACATTAAGGAGAACAAAAGAGGCAGAGTCACAATAGATGTCTAAGGCGTCACCGGCGAAGACTACGTGACTAATTATAAGGGGCGTGAGCGCATGTACGTGTGCAATGTGAGATCTGGCCGCGTGAGATTTTTTTCTTTAATTCAAGATGATGATAAATTAAACAAAAGCTTAAAATACGAAACAATCGATCAATTGTGTTTAGATACAATGATTTTTTTCAATGTACGAAACTAAAAACAAGCCAGTGGCACACTTTTGTACATGGCTAACAAATGCACCACCACATTCTCCTAAATGTGCGACGGTAGTAGGCACATAGATACGTACAGGATTTTGTTGAGGATGATTCTAGAAGAACCTAACTACTGTCAATTTTAATTGTATACGGGTCATTGGTATTGAATGTGTCTGGCTTACCTGTAACGACCTTAATGGATCTACCGTCTGCATACCTAGATAAATTTGCATCAGAAAGAAGTTTTTGCAGGAGCCAACCAGAGAAAGATACGTCTTCATAGTTAAACTTTCTCCGCCCATTTTCATCGTAATTCTTTGGATTTGTTATAAAAAGGGGACGCTACCGGCCATGTGCAGGCAGTTTGGTGAAGAAGAGACACCGGTTAGATCGTCGAGTCCACCCAATCGTCAGCTGCCCAGAAGAATCAAGACATCAGTGAGAGGCAAGAAGTTTTCTCCGGCAGTCCAGGTAGGAATATTCCATTCGCCTTTACAATTTCCCTACAGAGATGGTAAAATCTATTATCAGTGCATTCAAACGATATCCCCTAGCTGTTAACTAGATATCCCCCGAATCGTGAGAAAGCATTTGTCGGTACATTTGTCGTTTGTTTGTAAGACCATGTCAACTCAGCCAATCAGAGTGCGTTACGTTATCGAGGATGGGCCCCCATATGTGTTGGATTTGGGGCCGGTCACTATTTTGCTGCGTACACAAGTTATGTCCATCAGGATTGAATTTTTGATCTGGGCCTCGCACCGCTCAAAACCACATTTTTCAGTACAATTTACAAAAAAAAAATCCGAAACACACTGGCAAAAGGGGCAAGTCTCCTTCTTTTGTACGATTTACCGATCATTTCTTAACAGCACAGTGAACAGGGCAGGTCAAGTCATTTATCGGTTTTTTTTCAGTACAATTTACAAAAAAAATTCTAAAACGCACTGGCAACAGGGCAGATCAAGTCAGCTGTCCGCTTATTTTGTAGGATTTACCGATCATTTCTTAACAGCACAGTGAACAGGGCAGGTCAAGTCATTTATCGGTTTTTTTTCAGTACAATTTACAAAAAAAAAATTCTAAAACGCACTGGCAACAGGGCAGATCAAGTCAGCTGTCCGCTTATTTTGTACGATTTACCGATCATTTCTTAACAGCACAGTGAACAGGGCAGGTCAAGCCAGTTGTCATCTTTTTTCTGTACAATTTACCAAAAATTTGTTAACCGCGCGCACCAGCGACAGGCAGATCAAGCCAGTTGTAGCCCTATTTTCTGTACAATTTACCAAATATTTCTAAAACGCACTGTCAACAGGGTAAGTCAATGCAATATCGCCTTTTTTTTGTACAATTTATCAATGATTTCTTAACCGCGCCGGGAACAGGTCAGGTCAAGTCAGTTGTCGCCTTTATCTGTACGATTTACCAAAAATTTCTTTTAACCGCAAATGAACAGGGTAGGTCCAGTCAGCTGTCTCTTTTTTTTTCTGTACGATTTTTTGATAGTTTCTCAACCGCACTAGCAACAGAGGAGGTCACGTCAGCTGTCGATTTTTTTTTTCTGTACGATTTATCGATGGTTTCTTAACCGCACTGGAAACAGGTCAAATCAAGTCAGTATACGTAGTTGCCTTTATCTGTACGACTTACCGAAAATTTGTTTTAACCGGAACAGCAACAGGGCGGGTCAAATCGATTGCTGTGTTTTTTTGTACAATTAATCAATGATTTCTTAACCGAACTAGCAACAGTGCAAAACAAGCCAGCTGTCGCCTTTTACGATTTACCGATGGTTTGTAAACCGCACTGGCAACAGGGAAATAAGCTCTCGCTTTTTTCCCGCACTATTTATCGATGGTTTCTTAACCGCACTGACAAATGGGCAGGTCAAGTCGGTTGTCGCCTTTTTCTCTTCGATTTATTAAAAATTTCTTAACCGCACCTGGAACAGAGGAGGTCAAGTCAGTACTTTTTCTGTACGATTTATCGATAATTTGTTAATCGCACTAGCAAAATGGCAGGTCAAGCCAGCTGTAGCCTTTTTTTCCGTATACGATTTTTTCGATGTTTTTTTTAACCGCACCAGCAACAGGGCAGGTCAAGTCAGTTGTCGACTTTTTATGTACGATTTACAGAAAATTTCTTTTGACCACAACAGCAACAGGATAGGTCAAACTATTTTTTCCCTTTTCTGTACAATTAGTCAATGATTTCTTAACCGCACCAACGACAGGGCAGGTCAAGTCAGTTTTCGCTATTTTTTGTAAAATTTACCGACTATTTCCTGACCGCACCGATAACAGGGTACGTCAAGAGAGTTTTCTTAAAAATTTACTGAAAATTTCTAAACATCACCGCCAGCATGGTAGGTCAAATCAATTGATGCCTTTTCTGTACGATTTTTCAATTTCTTAACCACAATAGCAACAAGATAATCCAAGCTAACTGTCGCCTTTTCCTTATAAGATTGATAAAGTCAGTTGTAGCCTTTTTCTGTACGATTTACCGATGATTTCCTAACCGTACCGGCCACAGGGCATGTCATGTCAGTTGTCGACTTTTTTTCTTTACAATTTATCGATATTGTTTTTAATCGCAACAACGACAGGGCAGGTCAAGGTTTCGCATTTTCTCTACAATTTAATGAAAATTTCTTGAACAACTGAACATAGCAGGTCAAGTCAGTTGTAGCCTTTTTCTGTACAATTTATTTTTATAATTACCGAAAATGTCTTAAACGCATAGCAGCAGAGCACTTCAAGTCAGTTTTCGATTTTTTTTGTACAATTTACCGAGGATGTCCTAACCAAAACAGAAACATTTGCAGATATTTATTACCTTTACCAAGAAGGTTATGTCTTTAGGGGCATTCGTGTGTGTGTGTATATATATATATATATATATATATATATATATATATATATATATATATATATATATATATATATATATATGTGTGTGTGTGTGTGTGTGTGTGTGTGTGTGTGTGTGTGTGTGTGTGTGTGTAAATACGATAGCTTGAGGAGGTCTTGATGGGTTGTCTTCATATTTAGTAGGTAATATTTAGTAAGACCTCAAAGTGATTAGATTTGGGGCCACCTGGCAGCTTGTCATGATACTGCAGCAGAACTTCAAGTTTTGATAGCTCATGATCTTTTGATATCCCATGAGCTTGTTTTATGGCTATAAGAAAAGTTGGGTGTCTCCAGATCTTTTAAAGTTTTCAGAAGTCCATGTCAGCCCCGTCCTTCTGGCCAAGTCGTTCTTGCTGGATGCCAGTATGGATCCTCAATATTTTCATATGTACGTAGCTTAAAACCATGCTTGTACTATAAAACCACACAATAAATTCAGCTAATGTAAACTTACAGACCTCAGTCTAGCTTTGACTATGGTAGGGTTAACATGTGCCTAGCTAAGATAGAGACCAAGACACGTTACTATTTAAGACAGTTTAAAATATAAATACATGAGATAAGGAATTGAATCATCTAATCCAGAATGTAATGGCAACACTGGCTTGCCGAACTCTGCCTGGTAGTGTCAGACATTGGCTCACAGTTATTTGAACAGCGGTCTACATGACTTATATTGTAAGATCACAACAATTGACCAGACTAGTAAATCAAGCAGCCAGGATTATTACTGGGTGATCACTCAAATATAGTGTACCTACAGAAACCCTGCTTGCAGAGGCTGGTATGGTACCACTGGCCGTACGAAAAGCAGAATTTCCACAAGTTTCCAAGCTGGGACACGTTGGTGAAACCTGACATGTCCTAGTCGTGTACATAAGTTTCCACGGGTGTCCCATCCTGGCGTGTCCCATGTAGTAAACCCGTGCACCCGTGCACACAATGGGACACGCGAAGTGTCCAGGATTTCCCACTGTTGGAAACGTCTCGTGTCCTGACTAATTATCGTCACAATGGAGTATCCATCCTGTGAAAATAGGCACGGCAATCTATAAGCAGTTTTGTTGTGTTTGTTTACGTATTGCCATGGGACTTTGCGAGTCTGGCTATGACCCATACAGAGCAGACTATTTTGCGTCCACACCAGGCTATACAGATTGACCGCCGCTAAAGAATCTAGCAGGATATACAAAGCTTGGTATGAACGCCGGGGTCTAAGAGTTTGCCGAAGTTTATACTAGTACATAGCCCTACAGCGCATGAATGTACAATAAAAATAATTATCGCTCCGCTTTAGTAAATTTTCTGGTAGAAATGGCGTGAACCCCTGATACATTTTGGCGTATACTATCGGTAAATCAAGAAAGCACGCCGACGGACGCCGCGATAGAGTGTTAGATAAAATTTGGAACACGTTGTTGTGAACGAAAAGAAATAGCTGAAGATAATAAACTAAAGACTTGCTCACGCGCGATCGTCTGTAGCGCGTTTTGGTTTGGGTGCCAAATTATAAACTTAGCCTAGAAGTGCAGGGGATGTGCAAGTTTGAAATTTCTACTGCAAAAAAAATTGTTTATTAGTGGAAGTCATAAGTGATCATGATTAGTTTTTTGTTTAACTAAGAGATATTGTAATGCTTCGCAGTATTTTTCCGATGTATCTGTTTCCAAACTTACTTGAATATTAGAATATCTACTATAACGGTTGCTAACTAACAATGTACAGAATTATTTGTCTGGTAGCTCAGCTTTCTGCATAAATTAACGCCTTATTATGTCGGCGCCATATTGGATCTACGGTATATAATACTAGTAGGCAAAAAAAAAACACAATTACTGGTCAGAATTTTCCCAAACTAGGCTATTGGATAACCTCGACCTTGATATATTTCACTTGGAAACATGTCCGTTTTCGTTGGTGATGAAGGAGACCCCCTTGGCGTTTTTCAAATATTTGCCCACTGTTGTGTAAAAATGATTTTTTGAAAGAGACAAAAGATGCTAGGTTTACCTGTACGTTGTTGTTAGATGTGTATTGTGGGGTAATGGTCAGACGAGATGGCGCCAGTATGTTAAAAAATATCCCTGTTTACCATGTTTGGTTTTTGTAAAGGAGCCTTAATTTAACTTTCTTGTTTTTATTTCATTTTCTTGAACAAGAAGTTGAAAACATTACACAGGTAAACTTGCATATGGATTATGTGTTACGCATGGTAACATTTCGGCGCATTTTGGCGTAAGATTAGCCTATGGGGTTTATTGTTGTTATAGCGCGAATCTTTTTCACAATAGACAACTGGGACATTTCACAGCTCTTTGTGTCGATCGTTATTCTTGCAGTGATCTGTAAACCCTGACAGCCAATTGCATGCATTTCTTCTTGTATGTGGTTTGAAAAGGGGGCCAATCAACGCTCGCGCTCTATTTTTGAAATCTGTCAGTTAGCACGCCGGGTTGTGTAACGTGCATTCTACAGTTCTCCTGGACACAAGCAACACGCTAGGACTTAGTGAGAGACTGGGAAACTTGTCTACATCAACACCGAGGAATATCGACATGGCGTCATTCTACGTTTACTTGTAGCTGTTTCCTAGCATCTACCAGGCTGCGGGAAGCGGCTGGAACCGAAGCGGCAAACTGTTTTCTCCAGCAGCACCAACTCCCTTGGCATGCTATCTCTCCATTGGGCCGATTTCTACTCTTTCCAGCTGCTTCTCGAAGCCTGGTAGAGGCTTGCTGTTTCCAAGACAAGAACGCCGCGGGACATTACGCGGGGCAATACGAACGGGGCTAGACTTCTCTCCAGACAGAGGTTGATTGGGAAGATTGTGAACTTCAGTCTATGTCCCGTTTTTTTTAAAGTCGGTAGCCAACCCTTGGGAGACTAGGCAAGACGAGCTGAGGAAGGATTCCAACGACTGGAGACTCATATTTGCTCCCGAGACTGTCATCGTCTACCTGCCATACGTAGAAGGACGAATAGGCCGAGACCTACATGTACAGTTTGTTTCAGATGAGCCTGTGCTGAGAGACTCGCCAAAGCACACTGAAAATTTGGGAGGTGCATAAAATACATACAGATCGGAACCTCCTGATGACCAGTTCGCAACCAAAAAACACTAGCACACACTCACACAAAGCCCAAGCACCATTTACAACTAATAAAGGCAACAAAATATCAAAACAAGGGGGGGGGTAAGGGGGATAGGAGGCCATGATGCTACTTTCCATTACAAAAGGTATATTTGAGGCGTGGCCGGGTGTGTCGGGTCGTCTCGCGCATGCGCATTTGGTTTCACAAAGTTGGGGAGATAATTGCGATAATTGCCGCTAAATTATGCATAAGTCATTCGTGGAACAAAGACAAACACCTGAAGTTTCCACACGTGTACACACTCAGGTATCCCGACGATGTGCACGTAAATTTCCGCCGTAGGACACGAAATGGACATTTGAGCGGTCCGTTTCCCACGTTTTCCACAAGTTTCCCACAGCGGACACGCCGCGTGTGCACCTTGGAAATCATTGGAAACTCGCGGAAACTTTCCTAGTGAGTATACACAGATATCCACGAGGGAAATCTCGGTTTTCGTCCGGTGTGGTCTTATATAGTTAAAACCTTATCATCTTTTTAAGTGTTTTTGTTTGTTAACGAATGTTGATTTAACAAAAGTACAAAAAGGACGATTCTATCTATTTTTATCCTTTCTCGTAAACATAACACAACGCTAACAATCAGTGGAGACGTTGCTCCTGTAAACTTTACACAGTACTTACTATACTGTCAATGCAATCTCAAATAAATGTCACAGGTGCTGAATAAATAATGACTTCATAGGAGCTCGGCCGAGGCCCGTAGAACCTTCGTCCGACACGGGTGCACGGAGCTCGCTCGAAGCACGCTTGATTAAAAAAACTTCACGCAAGTCGGGCGAGGTACGGAAGAGGGTCGCCCGAATATTTCGCAAGCTCGCGCGAGGGTCGACCGTATTCAGCGACCATCGCCCAATTTTCGAAGACGAAGAACGGCCGAGACTCGTGGGATGTACGTCCGAATATCGGTCGACTCTCGGCCGTACAGGGGCGAGCTACGGGCGACCTGGAAACGAGCTCTGCGACTTCAAAAATCGCCGGCGACTAGTCGCTGATGTTAAGAACACGTTTCGCGTGTCAGCGAGCTTCGGTCGACTCCAAAAAATCGCCGGCGATCCCGAAAATTCGCGCAATGCTCGACGGAACACCGGGCGTACTACGGCCGTAAATGTCGCTTAGAGCTCGCCAACTAGTCGGCCGATCGATTTACGCGCAATGTGACAGGGGCATTAGCAACAATTTCTTAGGTAGGCCGTGTAAAGTTCGTCGTCATTTTTCTTGTATTACATTTACCGATTTTTTTCCATCATCCCGGCAATATGCCGCGTCAAGTTCGTCGTCGTCTTTTTGCAGTAAATTTACAGATAATGTCTTCACCACCCTTGTAATAGTCCGCGTCAAGTTCGTCGTCTTTTTCTTGCAGTAAGTTAATTGCTTCACCACACCGGCAATAATCCGCGTCAAATTCGTTGTCTTCAATGCAGTAAATCTACCGATAATTAATTGTTTCACCACACAGGCAATATGCCGCATCAAGTTCGTCGACTTTTTCTTGCAGTAAATTTGCCGATAGTTTCTTTACCACACTGGCAATAGGCCGCGTCAAGCTCGTCGTCTTAAATGTAGTAAATTTACCGATAGTTTCTTTACCACACCGGCAATAGGCCGCGTCAAGTTTGCCTTTTCTTTTCAGCATTTTACCGTTAAGTTCTTCACCACACCGGCATCTGGCCGCGTTACTTTCATCATCTTTCACTTGTTGTATATTTACCGATAATTTCTTCACACCGGCAACAGGGCGCTTGAAGTTCATCGTCTTTTTCTTGCAGTAAATTTACCGATAGTTTTTTTCACCACACCACACAAGTTTGTTGTCCCTTTTTCTTGCAGTAAAGAAATTTAAAAATAATCTAAATAAATCTAAATAAATGTACTCTCTCTGCTCATTGTCTCATCGCCGCCGTCGGCCATGGCGACGGTGTGAGCTGGTTCAGAACCGTTTCAGAGGTGACGGAGCTCATTGAGCTCATTGCGCTCCCTGCGCGCTCTCAGGGCGACATTGTCGCTGACTCGGCTTGCGCTCCGGCCAATTTTAGGTTAAAGAGACAGCGTGGTGAGAGCGCCGTCATAGTGGAATGGGGTCATTAATCAGGTCACGCATCATCGGTGATATCGGCCGCGGTGAGATGCCGCAGCTGCCAAATACATTATAGAATAAATTAGAATCAAGATGAAAAATACCTTATATCATCTACTTCTTCAAGTAACTACACATCTATACCAAGACGTTGTATATTTTAATTTTTAAATTTTATTAATTAATTAAATTTAAAAATTGAATTCCGTATGTTCCTTGACAGGCTAACTACAAGCCCAGAGGACACCATGAGGTACCTCCTGTTAGTAGTCATCACGCTGCTTTGTGTGGCCCTGGTGACATCGATAGGCCCGAGGCGGACTCCACCGAGGCGAACCCCCCCGAGGCGGAGTGTCCGAATGCGAACTTCAGTCCCTACGCATGCGCCACATCCACATCCACAAACGAGGCAACCGTTACATGGTAGGAAAACAAGCCCATTATAAGTCTAACTGGCAGAGAATTAGTATTTACACAAGGCAGATGGTGTAGTTGATAAAATGGTTAGAAGTAAAAGGAAATTTGTATACAAGGTACCAGTATACGTGAAAAAAATGTTTTTGACGTATTTAGATAATACGAAAATGTTTTTCTCTAATTTGTGTGGCATTTATTCCATTAAGCATTATAAAACGATAAATGTCTAACCATATTGAACTTTGTTTGAATAGGACATCACCCTACCTGCCAAGATCTGCCCAGTGGCACCTACCCCGACCTGGAGGACTGCACCAAGTTTTACATGTGCAGCAATGGAATATCATCGAGTTTTTCCTGTCCAGACGGTCTCCTTTTTGACATCAAAACCTTGCGATGTGAGTGGCCTGAAGAAGCAACATGCGGTACGTCATCTAGTTAATACCTTAGCCAAGAATTGACGAAGGTTATGTTTTCCTGGCCGTGTGTCTGTGTGTCTGTGTGTCTGTCCGTCTGTCAACAGCATAACTCATGAAAGATTAGATGGATTATCTTGATATTTGATGGGTGGGTAGGTCTCGATGAGAGCTCGAAATGATTCGATTTTGGATCCCCTAGCGGCTTGTTATGGTACTGCAGCTGAACTTCCGGTTTTGATAACTAATGATCTAGACATGTTAGGGTGACGAAATTTGCATGGTGGCTACGAGTAGCTCGTGTGCTGGGGAAGAAGTGACGTGAGTTTGGTCCCCCTAGCGGCTTGCTCTAGAACTACAGTGCTACCTGTTTGAAAATATTCAGAAGAGGATAACTCAAGAACCGGTTGAAGGATCGTCATGATTTTTGGAATTCAATTAGCTTATGTAATGCTTAATGTAATTATGTGACAGTTATGCAAATATGGATGTGATTTGCATAATTTACGGGGAAATTTTATAAATTACTAGTAGCTGCATTCCATCATAGGACTATTGAAGCTTGTGACATTGGTAATTGAGAACGAGATAAACACAGGCAGATATTGATTATGTAAATGAAGACTAAATTTGCATAATTAATGGAAAATGTTATAATTCTGTAATGATAACTGCCTGGAATTTCATACTTATGGTATTTGAAAGTTCATTGAAGGTCAACATCATTAAACATAATGTATTCAAATTAGGGTATCATTTGCATAATTTATAAGGAAATGCTAGAATGGCATTGTTTGTACATATAAGACTGTCGTTTGGCTGAGAATATGATAAACTGATATAATTTATGAAAATTAGGATGCTATCTGCACAATCAGGGGGAATGATTTGTCAGCCATAAAGATTAACATCATTCAATGGCGAAGGTATGAGATCGGGGAACTCTAGTTCAGTATGTGTTGTAATCGCTCTGAAATTTTTGGGATATTTAAACCCCATAATTCTTTGTTCATAGTATTTGTAATATATCATTCAAATGCGATGAAATGTAATGCACCTTTTACTTTATATATGTTGTTTCCTAATGTAACATCCCTTTGTATGTATTTTTTATCAGCGACATCCGTGAAAGAAAAGAAACGTACACCTGCACCATTACCTACCAAGAAAATTTACAGTTCAGGTGAGTAGATGACAGTTCCTTTTCTGTTGAGGCCCTATATCTTGGAACTTCTTTTATTGCCAGACTTATTATTACTACTTAGTATCCTTTTGCCCTGATCGCTTACACACAACTTCGAATAAGGGATGATCTGTTAATTGTTCCTTTTTTACTAGATGGACAGGCAATCAAACCAACGAAGATATGTAAGTGGCAAAGCAAGTGGCGGTAACAAAAAATATTCAAAAAATTAAAAAAATATTGAAGCAGATAATCTTGACAAATGAGTGAGTGCCTAGGTTGTAGAATTTAAAAAAATAATATCATTCATAAAGCGCCTCTTTGTAGTGGAATCTTAGAACTGCCATGTACATCTCTTATTCATTAGGTTTTTAACGCTATATAGATCATACATCTTGGTAAGGCAGTACAGGCAAAGGCCCAGGTGCAGGCACAAAACTTATTAAGCAAGAGGATTGGTATATGGTTTTTCTGAAGAAAAACTAATAAATTTTAAATAAAAATTTCGGTTATAATGGCGGTTCATCACGTAATAACAAATGCTGTTTTAGTATTAATTTCCCCCTACTCCAAATAACAAGGCCAGATGGTCACCAGATGGCCCAGATGGGCACTCTAGACAAGTAGTTAATCAAAATTTAAAAGTTCTTCTATCAGTTTGTGAATACCTTCGAGAAGAACTCAAAGCAAAATCAGCATGATTCTATACAGAAACGACTGCCAAAACTGTAAAACTGAAAAGCACTGTATGGGGGTTTCCGGAAAAAGAAATAGAATTA